CATCAGTAGAACAACAGTGGCAGAACTACTGTCACATCCTGCCAACTGAAAACAAAGTTAAGACTAAGCCTAACAACTTCTCTCTAAATTTCTCCAGGTCTTCTGAAAACTTACCCAGTTTCTCTTTACACACACTTAAATCTGAAACAGAAAAGGAGACCTGTAACTGGACCACCCCGCCCTGTCCATCTACCACCTCTTGCAGGGGGTACAGCCCTCCAAGGTCTTTTTAGATTCCGGGAGGGGAGGATAAAGATTGCGAGGACCGAGGACCATAGGGGTAAAAGGAAGCTCACTGGGACCGGTCACCAGAGAGGCTGTGGGTCCTGAATGAGGAGTAAGGGAAGGGGTGGGGGCGGAAGGAGTGTTGAGGACAGGATCAGAAACAGTAGGGGAAGGGGAGCTGGGAGGGAGGTATGCTTGATGTTCAGGCAGAGACATTGCCGGGGTCAGCCCCAGACCTCGATTCAAGAGGGGATCCTCCAAAAGGTCTGCTTCCCCAGATTCCTTTGGAGGCTTTTCAGATTGAGTTTCCTAGCTAGAGCTACATGGGTCAATTTGCACTTTGTTTGTAGCCCCTTATTCTGGTAGAGGGCCATAAAGGCTTGAACATAGGGGATTTCATCTCGTTTTTCCTCCCTCTTACAAAATAAGTCCAGCTGTAAAATAGTATTAAAATTCATAGACACATACAAAGGCCATTTTTCATGGTCGGCAAGGATATACTGAGGCCAGGCAGTGTTGCAGAAAAGTATGTTTCTTTTTCTTTAATTGATCAATAAGAAAAGAATTGCCAGTGTTTAAGAATGCACCGTAGGGGTGAATCTCCTGGTATGCTTTCCTGATTTCCCATTCTGTCCAGTTATCTGTTCCCAAGAACCTAGCTTTTTATTTTTATGGGTAGTGGATACCAGCAGCTTTTTCTTCCTAGTCCAGTAGCAATTTATTTGTTTCTCATGCTGCAACCAACAGTTTTCCCAGCTTCTGGAGAGAACCTCTTTCTGAAATCTTAACACTCCGTCCGGAGCGTTCCCTGTATTGTGATCCAAATTCCAGTCGACACTGAAAATCTGCTCTCCCCATGTATCCTTCTTCAGCCCAGTCAGTAAACTCCCAGGAGTCTCTATGGGTATGTTCTACTTCAATCTGAATTTCTTTTCAGCAATCAATTTCCATATACTATACACTTAAGATGGACAGACAAGCAGACAGAGCGCTCACACCAGACCAGCCAGAGAGGGAAACGGGAACGAAGATGGTCTTAGTGAGGTCCAGCCCCAACTTCAATCTTCCAGATGCCCTGTATCCCCAATACGAGATGGAGGGATTTCCAACCCTAATCTATCAGGTGCCGATCGGAGAATTTCACGTCCACTCCTCAGATCCAGGCCGGGCCGGAGGGGTTTCAGTCTCTCAATCTGCACCGATAATCTACGCCAACCTCCTAGGCCCAGGGTGCACCAACCAGAAACAGAGAACCCGAGAAAAACACACAAAAAATTCTATGCCTTTCATTCAAGCCAAAT